CACACACACACACACACACACACACACACACACATTCACACATGCTCATTCTCCTCTCTCTCTTTAGCCTTTGATGAAGCATGCAGCAATTTTAGCCGTCGCTAAGGAAACTGAAGATCGCTAATCAATCCATCTGTTCAAGAGCAGCAGACAGTCTGTCTCTGTGTGGCTGAATCAGTCCCTGACCTGGCTCACATCACCTTGTTGGTGAATTGCTACATAAGATCACACTTGTTGGTGTTGCAGCCAACTGATGGAAACAGCTCATCAGCCACATAATCACTTTAATCTAAGAAGAAGAGCAGAGCTGAAAACATGCAGAGCTGACCTTTTCATTTATCCCTGTACAGATGCTGTAAATACAGTTTACCGTCATTCACAGTTTCTTACCTTTGGTGAGGGCATGAATTCCCAGCTTGACATGGGAGAAGTTTCCACAACCGATCTCCCCTCGAATTTTGTAGAAGCCAATTCTTCTTCCCACTGTCAGCTCACGGACGACCCTGTGACCAGATTACAAAAGAGGTTACACCAATGACTTATAAAAGTGGAGCCACTACAGAAAGAATTTCACTGCATGGGAGGTGGGAAAAGGAAAGAGAAATACAATCAATAGAAATCCTAAAATGAAAAAATAAAAAGGGAATTTCAGTTTTCTCTCCTCCTACCTTTCATCCTGGCACATATCCAGGTTCAACCGTTCCAGAGGAGTGAGGCTGCGGATGGTGGCTCCCTCATCGTCCGTGTTGATGTCGGAGCTGTCCTGGCGGCTCCAGCGGGTGTACCTTTGGCCACCAGTAACCACAGCTGTGCCTCCAACGGAGCCTCCGACTGAGTCTCCGTTAGACTCTACCGCGGAAACTGAGCTGCTCCCAGCGGTGCCTGCTGGCCCCGGCGCCGACCCCTTAGAACCTGCTGTCCTGGCCCCGGCTGCAGTCCCCTCTGGACTGTTCTCAGCGGGGCAGACAGCAGTCATCCTGCAAGGGTGGAGTGGACTTAGCTCATGGCTGGGAGGGGAGCATGACTGGATGCACACAAAGAACAAAAAAACGTGGTTTCCTTGTTAGTTTCTTACAACATTTTTAAAAATGTATATTTCTAGACCACATTTAATTTTTCCTGATGCACTTTGATTAATGTTCCGACTGCTTTGAGATTGTCTTTAAAAATCCCCA